AGAGATCAGGTAGCTGAGTACTGTGGTCAGGGCACCTCCAAGGATGGAAGTTCCTCAGCCTCACTGGTTCCTGGTCCAGGGTCCAGCCACCCTCATGCTGAAAGGGATTCTTTTGCTAAATCTCATCAGAATTTCCATGTTTGTGACTTGTGTCTGGTGCCTTTTTCAGTGTTTGCCTCTGAAGAGAGATCATTGCTGCTGTCCCTGCACCCTTCCATGAGGGGTTTGAAGACAGAAGGCCACCAGACCTCCCTTCACCTGCTCCAGGCTCAAGAAATCCACCTTTCCAACCTGTGTTATGTGTCCCACACCTTCTTGGGCCTCAGCACTGAGCTCTCTCCACTTTGTCAGTGTTGTGCTTGTTCTTGGGGCCCCCCAAATTGCACAGAGTTAATTCAGAAGTGTCCCAACAAGTGCCATATAGAGGGGTACAATTCATTCTCTCTCCTGATGCTCTCCAGTCTTCCTCAATTGCATCTGTGGGGTCTCTTGGGAGCCACAAGTGCTGCATGAGGACCATGATGGGACCTTGTCACACACCACTCAGAAGCCCCTTGCCTGAGGAAGGGCACCAGGGATGGTTTGCTTTTAACCAGTTCAGCATTAATGAGTCTCAACATGTTTCTCTAACTGGAAAAACATGAGAAGCCTTGCAGCAGTAAGTCCTATTTTCATCCCATTTTGAAAAGCCAAGCCTAACGAGCAGGACACCGAGTGGGATGGAAACACTGACTGCTTTGCTTTGCTTTGCCATTTAATAGCAAAAAATCCAGCACACCCTATTCATCTGCATCTCCTACTCTTTTCCCATCTTGCCAGCTTTCCAAGACTCTGAAGCTGCTTTGGAGCCTGTGGTGGATTTTCCCCTCTGCTGTAGGACCATCGTGGCCACCACCCCTCCTGTTGTGTCTCCCCCGAGGTGTCTGAAGCTCTTGGGCTGTTGCCACCTGGGATCCATTCCAGTGGCAGAGCTGCAGTGAGGAAGAGGCCCTGGGCAGGGCAGGGGGGTCCGTGTTTGTTCCTCAGAAATGCTGAGGAGCACCCAGGGGAAGGGCAGGGGGTACCAGATCCACTCCTGGAATGTCAGCTGGCCTGGGTCAGACAGCCCAGGCTGAGCTGGCCACTGCCAGAGGAGAAGGTGTGCAAGCCCAGGGCCAGAGCCACGTCCTCAATGGGATATTAACAGTCCATGGGATGGGAGAGCCAAATCCTCCCCTCTGCCTGGTTTGCTGGTGTGGAGCTGGAGCAACCAGCCTGTTCCCACCCACCCAGGCAGGGCTCGGAGCTGCTCTGGGTTCTGTCGTGTTCTGTCAGAGCCCTTCCCAAGGGATGGAAAAGAACTGCAGTGCCAAGAGTTGTGTCTTTCCTGCCCCTCAAATGAGGAACCTTGTTTTGCTTCTGCCGTGGTTTCTCTGTCCTCTCTCATCACAAACCCAGGCAGATGTTGGGAACAGCTCCCGGGCAGAGCAGAGAGCAGCTGGTGGGGCCTTCATGGACAACCTTCACTTTGCAAAGCTGCTGTGCTCCAGAGGCACTGCTGGAGCCAACCTCCTTTTCCTACCTGCACAGCTTTGCTGCTGTCAGAGCTCGGATTTTGGAGAGCCATGGAAGGGCTGATTGAGGGCTTTAGTTCCAAGTTTTCCTCCTGTGCCTCTGAGCTGCAGTGAACCCTTTCCTGGCTCTTTGGCTTCTCTCTCCAGTGACAAACCCCTGGAGCAGGGACTGTCTGGGCATGACCATGTCCTCACCTGGGCTGACCTGAACACTTTCCCAGAAGCAAATATTTCCTCTGCTGTCTCATGCACTGTGGAGCTGGAGCAGGTCCTGGGCAAGTATGCCACCCTCAGTGAGGATTTCTACCTGCACTATTGCAGACAAACTCTCTTCCTGCCAGCACAGAAATGTGGAGGCAAATTCCCTCCCCACAGACTGAAGGAGCGAGTGGCTCTCAGGGAGCAGGAATGCTCCCTGTTGGGAGCAGCTGACCAGCTGTGTCTGGGGACACAGGGACAACTGGCTTGTTGCTGGTGGACTCAGCTGTCACCTCAGACAGCCCATCCACTTCTCCATGCCTGATTTCTCCAGACCCCAGGAGGACACAGGATTCAGAGCAGGGTGGATCCCCCCAGCAGCCCCAGGGGAGGCACACTGGGTACTTGGTGGACAGTTTTAAGCTGTGGTCGAGTCCAGGGAAGCCTGTCCTTGTGCTCTCTGTCCCTGCAGGGCACCCAGGACCCTGGACAGGGAGCTGAAGCACAGACTGCTCTGTCTCTTGGTGTCCTGGGGTGACAACCCTTAGTGTCCTTCCCATTCTGGAGGGGACCACTGGCTCCAGGACCTGTGCTGTGCATCTGGAGCTGTGGGGCTGCAAACTTAGCTTGGATGCTGCATGGGGAAGGTGAGGGGGGGCAGGAATTGTACCCCAAATCATTCATCTGCCTACCAGTCTGTGGGACAGCCTCAGCCATGCCCAGCCCTCCCTGCCTGCCACCCATCCTGCCTGGGGCAGCTCTGCAGAGCCCCCTCACTCTGCCCCAGGGCTGCCAGGAACACCAGGCATGGAGGATGCCTGGATGCTCCAAACCAGAGGAGGTGAAAAACTCACAGGGATTGAAACCAGAACTGGATGATTTAGCCACTGTTCCTGGGAATGCCTCCTCGGGGCCAGTGCCCTCAGCACCCACCTGCACTTCCCCCCCTCAGCCGTGCAATCCCACACCCAGTGATGGGAGCTGTGGGGAACGGGGCTCTGAGGGAGCACTGCTGACGCATTCCCAACAAAAACGGTGTTAACTTCCCAGCAAAGGCCACGGGGAAGCAAAGAGGAGGGAAGGAACTGAGAACAAGAGACAAAAGCACAAGCAGAGCACTTCGGTCTGGCAGCAGGAGTGCTGTGCTGGGAAAACCCTCGGATTTATTGCAAGAGTTCTGGCACATTGAGGGAAGAGGGGAACAAGGCCCTGGACAGTTTCTAAGAAGTGATGGTTCCCTGAGTCTTTTTCCTGGGATTTTCTGCCTGATGGGGATTTTCTGTGTGGTAGGGCTGAGGGGACGTGGGGACATGTGATGTGGGTGCCCTCCTGAGCTGCAGCCTGAGAAGGGATCCAGCTCCCCACAGTGGGTGTCCCTCGGGAAAAGCTGCAAAAGCAAACGTGGGGGGGAATTTCAGGGGTGGGAAGTGGCACAGCAGTTCCTGGGGGTGCTGGGGCTGGGCCAACCTGGGAATCCTGATCATCCCCAGCCTGGGGAGCACAGTGGGGGTGAGTATCTGACCCTCTCCAAGGCCAGGGCTTGTAGCAGCTGTGTCCCAGCACAGGGCTGTGTCCTGGCCTGGTAAGTGTCCATATCCAGGGTGGCTTGGCTAAAGCAGCTCTTGTGCAATAGAAAATGACCCTGGAGATCCTTTTGGAGAAATGCACCATCCCCATTCCCAGGGAAACCCCTGCCCTCTCCAGCTCTCAGAGCTCCTTGCAACCCTCCTTGGATTCACAGGGAGGTGTCTCAGGCAGGAACAGGCTCCACTCCTGCTGTGGATCTGTTCCCCAGTGTCCAAGGGGACCTGCTGGGGCCACTTGCCCTGGGGCTCCCAGGTCCATGCTCAGTCCTTGGAGCAATTCCCTTCTCAGAGGGGGAGCAGGAGGGGCACAGAGCTGCCTGCCCAGGGAGCAGGAATGTGCTGTGGGATTCCCCCTCCTGCCTCCGGGTGCAGGTTGCTCCCAGCTCTCACAACAGGCTCAGCACTCTGCAAACAGAATTCAGCCACAACCCAGAACACATTACTGAAAAAACAAACAACAGACACATTCTTCTCCTGAATTCTGGGGCTCTTTCTGCTTCTGATCTCCCAGACAGACCCTGGCAGCCCACATCCTCAGGGAAGGCTTGGTTTGAGTTCCTGCAGCCTCAGTGTGAGCTCAGTCCCACCCCGGGATGTGCACAGGGGTGGCCAAAGGTGGCTTTTTGCTTCTCCACCCAGAGGCAGAGTGAGGCATGAACCACACCTCCACCTGCCCAGGTTCCTGTGTTCCCAAACTTCTCCTGGGTTCCAAGGCAAGCCCTTCCTTGGTTGGCTGTGCAAGATTTCTTGAAAGATTCGGCGGCCTTGGGGCATCTTGTGCTGAATTGCTGAGCCCTGGTGTCCACCCTTGCTCCTCAGCTTCAGAACAGGGCTCTGCCAAGCTCTTGCAGTGCCTCCTGCTCCTCGTGAGAGCCTTCATCCCACAGAGGGGACACAGCCCCAAACAGGAGGGTGGAGGGGACCCAGCAGGCACATGAGCCATGGATCCACAGAGCTGTGCCTCCCGATCCACCATGTGCCATCCTGATGATCAGGCTGGGCCCTGGCTTCAAATGTGCCCCAGTCCCTGCTGCCCGGGGCCGGGCAGGAGCCCTGGGAACAGGTTTACTGCTCAGGGAGCGGGAGGACAGTCAGCAACATCCCAGGGCTCCCGCGGCCAAGGTGCTGCGGATGATCCGGGTGGTGATCCAGGGAGTGAAGGAGCCTTGGAGGAACAGGCGTTTGCCTCGCAGGCAGCCCCTTGTGGCAGGTCTGCACATGCTTTCCCACTCCGAAATGCTGCCGGAGGTTTCCATCCCAGGGAGCCCTTTTGTGAGCGGCAGCTGTATGTAAATGAGAAGGGGAATTGGTGGGTGGCAGGGAATTCCCACGAGGATCAGGGTAGAAGGCCCTGGGGAAGGGTCTGTGATGGTATCAGGGCTCTGCCAGTGCTGCTCCACCCATTGCACCTGCTGCTGTGGGTTGCACACAACTGCACAGTTGTAGGGGAAGGGAGATTCCCCATGCCCAGGGCAATCTCCAGCAGCTAGAAGGGATCCCAGCAGCAGGAAAGGCAGGGAGGCACGGAGAGAGGTAGGATGTGGAGCAACCTCCTCAGCAGGAGACAGGATGGGGAGGAGCATGAGGGCACCTCGTGCTGCCCATTCTCTCCCCAGAGCTGACTCCAGCAGCTCCCCTGCCTGTGCTCTCCTGGACACTTCCCATGGGCAACTTCTACCCCTGTATCCTGGAAATGTATCCCCTGCAGCCTCTTCAGCAACCCTGTGGATTGAAAGCCAAAGGGATATACAGGCAGCATCAGCCCAGGGCTCTCCCTGTGTCCTGGGCTTGGTAAAGGTTGGTGGGAAAAACACCGGCTGCATCCCAGCATTTGGCTCTTCCAGAGCTCAACAGATCATGGCAAGGTCCCCCCGCCCTTCCCTTGGCTCTGCCCTGACCCTGACCAGCCGGTTTTGGGGGGTGCAGAGGGAACTCAGCTGCCTTTACCACCCCAGGAGCTGAAGTTCCCATGCAGGACCCCATAGAGATCCACCCTGGGCTGTCCCCGACTGCAGCTCCTCGGGGAAGCAGGAGAGAGCTGACACGGTCTCCAAGATCTGCTGTGCTCCCTGGGATCATCGTTTCCCTGGATGTTCAGACCTTATGGCGAGCTGGGGACTGGGGCTTGTGCTGAGCTCCGGTGCGTGGGTGTCTCCTCTCCTCACTGTCCAAACACGCTGCTGTTTTTCCCAGATCCTGGCGAGGGCATCACCTCCTCACTGTTGGGAATGTGCGGTGAGGGGCTGGAGGCGCACGGCTTTCCCCATCCTCCGCACCCTGGATGAGGCGCGTTCTGGTGGAAAACAAAGAGATGCCACATTTAAAACCGTGCTTTTCGTCATTTCCAACTTGAAGCCTCCGGAGCCTCGGCAATTCCTGGGAGCTCTGGGACCCTCCTGTCCCCAGCCCCGTGTCATGCTGCCCCTCGGCTGCCGGGGAGGCAGGACGGGGTTGGCACACGGGGACACGGGCAGGGCATCCCGGGGGCTCATCCCAATTCCCACCCCGAGCCGAGGCGTTGCTATCTTTTTATCCCAGTTGGCCAAAATGAAGGGAGCTGGGAGGTTCCCACAAAAGGCTCCCGGCTCATCCAAACTTGGCATTATTTTATACATTTTAACAAACAAGGGGCATCAGTGTTCGCTAGTTGCCGATGACATCGTTGTATTGATTTTTGCTTTTTATTA